CTGTTAATTGCAATTTTGTACAAATTAGCTTAGGATGTGGAAGATGCTAATTCACCCCCGGATGTGTTTCGCATCTGCGCATCTTATTAGATGCCTTGACTAGTGAAACTGTTATTGTAGTTAAGGGTCAATAGAAGACCCTACTTGTCTATTTAAGCTAGATTTTTAAACTTTTTTAATTATCATGTATAATTTTCATGTGTTTCAGGATTCTAAAAAGACATGATTTTGAGAATTTTACAGGAATTTTTAACCAGATGTCTATCCTCAATAATGGCCAAGTAATTAGGATGATTGTGATCAGAGCACCAAAGCATGCACTTCAAGCAAATTCTCTTTTCAGCATTGAATAGTAGTATTAGTTCACAAATCCAGCTTCGTTATTAGCTACTAAACTATGCTCTATTCATGATATACCATGGCCCCATTGAATGTAGTCAAAATAGTGGGAAAAAGGTTGAGAAAAATTCTTTATGATCTTTTTCCAATTTTGCCTATAGTTTGGAGAATAATAAAACAATAAGATCACCTGCTCTTGTTACCTCACTGGCAATAGACATATGCATCATTACTGGTACTTGAAAGAATTGCATATGAGCGGCAGTGATCACATTTGTGTATTTTGTTCTTAATCCATAAAATTAAATCCTTAAACTCGAAAGCATGTAATATATATCCTTTTATTCAGCAAAGATCCCATGGCTATGCAAACACTCTGTGTACAAAGTAGACAGTGAAAAATTATGCTTGATTGAAGCTACACTAGCACAAAAGAGAATTATAAATTCAGAGTGCTTTTAAACTACATGCAAACAATTAGATAAGATGAGGTAAAAATCTGCAGTCAAACTGGGCTAAATAAATTGCTAAAGATCTTTTCCTTGGGCAAGATCTTTGCATTTAAGTGAAATAAGCTATAAATAGCTACATTTAGATCGCATGAATTGTAATAAAAATAGAAATTCGTAGGCATCAACTGCATAAGCTAGAATCCTTGCCAACATACTTAGATCATCATTCTTATGACCATCTTTGATGTAAAAATCTAAATCATCGATTATCATACAATCGACCGTTGCTGTTTGCAGCGAGGCCAAGAACTTCAGGATTTCTTTGGCATTCTCCAAATACACCATTTTCATTCTTTGCAAAATACTTGTAAGAGGCCTTGGTCTTCGTTCTGGAAACACAGTTAGCTTATCAAACTTACGAGGAGAGACATAAACAAGACATTCTTTTCTTCTTCTGCTAAAGAGACGGCGAGTGAAAAGAGAAGTTTTTCCACAACCATTACAACCGTTTATCAGCACCTTGTTTTGCGAATTTCCCTCAGAGTTGTGTTTAAAAAAGCTCTCTAAAATATTTCCATGGCTTTCGTTTTGTACTATCGAGCCAGGAATTTCGAAAATTCGCGAAAGCATGAAGAAAACTAACTAAAATCTCAGCGAATTCAACAAACTTTGCAMTGTCGACCTGCAAACACTGCCAGGCGTTCAATACTTCGTTAGTTTGGGCTTCCTGTGGTAGATATCCGCTGACATTGAGGATTGCTGTCATCTGTGAATTCTCTTTTCTCCGGGAGGCCCAAGAGAGATCATTTAATGAGTCCAAATTTAGTAGATTTTCGCTTCTTTTATACTATGATGCTAGTAAATTATCAAGTTTCTACTGATTAAATGTGTTATTTTTAGTAAAATTAACAAAAATTTTATAAATTGTGCAATAAAAATCAGATAATGATATTTCTGAATTTTACCCTCCCCTCCCTTATACTTCTTAAATTTGTCAATGTTTGCATACACTAAAATGTGTAGGAGGTTTATTTTTATGAGTCGGAATTCTAGAAGGCTTATTTAACTTATTTCTCAATGTCAAAGTATTTCACCTATTCCAACCTGCCAGAGCATCAAGTAGCAATCTACCATGATCGYGAGGAACAATTTGGTAAAATATTTTGAGMTAATTTCGTTGTTGAATCAAATACAGCTGAGCTCTCGAAAACTGTCATGACCAATGTAAAATTATTCTCACTCAATATGATTCTAGTTGACAAGCCTGGGAAGCAAGATTTCGTGAGTTTGATAATAACATGTTTGTGGTCGCTTTTATTGCTSCTTACTTGCCCTATTTCTGTGTTTTTCTGTATCAAGGTAAGTTTTCACATGACGAATGTTTCAAGACCGAAGAATAAAAATAGCATCTGCTTTGCATGAGCTTATAGTATTATAAACATAAGTTCTTGACTTTTAATATTTGAATATAAATTAAGTTTTGTGTAAATATTTCAACTTTGTGGCCCAAAAWGGAATGCAATCCAAGCCTAGAAACCAAGTTTTCAACTCTATATTTAACACTATATTTCAAGGTCTGATATTTTTATTGACGTCAAAGCCATTTTGTGTGTGCATGTCAAACTAAGATATATTCCTTGAAGTTGTTGATGTGAAAAAATATTAACATTGACACTAGAAAAGACGTGGTATTTCACTTWAGGAATATGAATTTATTAAATTATTTCTCACAGATACTCAAAGACTATGAAAAAGCTGTTGTATTCAGACTGGGCAGGCTACTTCCACCTAAAGGACCAGGTTTGTTTCTTAATATTAAATGTTTACAATATTTTCATTTTGAATATCATACATGCAAGCAACGGTTACTGAATAATTTGAGTTTTCACTCACAAAATAACAATTGATAATTGTATCTGTGATGCCCTATGGATTGCGTTTAAGCTTCAGGGACAGGAATTTATAGGCAAGGTGTCATGTTTTGACATTTTGTATGGCATAGGGTATGGTTTTCATCTGGCTTAGGTTTGTGATTTAGTTAATTTTATACTGGAAAAGCTAATACATTTCTTCTCCAGGAACATTAATCTAGAAAAATCCACGATTGCTTAACTCCTTTCTTAAACAGGTGTCATATGCATCATGCCGTGYTTGGACAGAATGACTCGTGTGGACATGAGAATGAGAGCATTTAATGTTCCTCCACAAGAAGTAAGAATCATTTTTCCTTTAAAACACTATGTAACAGGGTATTCACAGTTGTGCAGAGTTCCTACAGGATCTTACAAAAGGAAACCTGTCTAGGATTTGCACCAGGGAATACTGGACGTTAAAATGTTAAAGGCGGTTTTCCTTCTTTGCTTAATCTATCAATTTAAATTCCGTCTGGATACTGAATAATATTTGTCTTTTTACTGATTTCTGCTGCTAGTATAAGTAATAGTATCAATTGGATTTTCGGCATTTTTATTGACACTTTATATTTTTAATGAATGCTTTATTTTTATGCTTAAAGTTAAGTAACATTTGCAAAAATTCAAAAAATTGCAAGTAATGTACAGTAGTACATGATTGTACTCTTGGTCTGGGAGAATATCAAAATAGCCGACTTGCGAATTTTGCCTCAATAGTCACACACAAGGGAATCAAGACGAGGCGTCGTGCATGAACTTAGCCATTTGTGAAAAGACAATAGTTTTTCACAACTGACTGAGCTTTATGCACRGCRCCTCGTCTTGATTCTTTTGTGTTTGACTACTGAAGCGAAATTCGCAAATCGGCTATTGGAGAAATGCTTTCTTTTGTCTTGTTTTAATTTATTCTGGAGAAACATCAACCAATCAGATCACTCTCTTTTCTTGTGTCCAGGGTCCAAAMTATATTGTCATATGATAATACCGATAAATATCATGATTCTGTATTGTAGGTCTTGACCAAGGATGAAGGTTGGATATCAGTAGGAGCTGATATTCAGTTCAGTCTAATAGACCCAGTCCTCTCTCTGACAGCTGTGCAGGACTTGAATCATTCTTTAAGGATGCTTGCACAGACTGCACTTGTTAATAGGCTCTCAACAAAAACTATTGCACAGGCTGAAGCAGACAAAAAGTTCATTGACTTAACTCTGCAGGTAAACATGAAAGCACTGTACATGTGTACAATCATGGACAAAATACAATGGGGCAACGTGTTAACTTTTCTTTGTGTCTCATTGTTTCCCTTTTTACAACCCTATTTTGGGGTCCCCTACCCCCTTGTTTCAATATTGGAGATTCATACATGAATGTGCTCTACCAACAAACTTTTCATTCTAAAATCAACATTGATTAGGGGAAGGGGGCACTACAGAAGAGAGACACTACATTGGAGAAGCATCAAAAAATGAAATTTGTACAGTGAAGCATCAAGAAATGAAATTTTTTACAGTTGTCCCAAAAATTTTGTCCATGGTTGTAGCTGCATACGTATTAATAATAATAATAATAATAATTTTATTTTTATATAGCGCTTATACAAATCTGCTCTAAGCGCTTTCAAATTACAAACGAGTACAATGACAGAGTCATGGTAGACTGCGAGCTTAAGATGGCGCCTCATGGCTGCCGCTCTTAGTCCGTCCCAAGACATCAAACTTAAAAATTACAACAATAAAAATTAAAATATAAATGACACTACAAAAAATACATACAAGGAATAAAGAAGCATGCATGATGGCCGGTGGCTCAGATGAGCTCATTCGCCCTTTGACAGGTCTTGTTTTTAGTCCTGCTGGGTGT